GCTAGCGTGGTTTTGATCCCTAGAAACGGCCCCGGCCGCTTCCTTTTTATAGCCACAAGGAGGGAGCCAGAGTACATGAGAGAGCTACACGTGGAGCCTTAGCGAGAAAGGAAGATCCAAAGATCGTGGCCTATTCCTCAGAGCAACACAAAGGTCGGGAATGGCAATTGGTACTTGATCACCGGTGCATCACGCAGCCATGCCCGAGGTCATTGAAGTCGTAAGAGTCCTTGTTGACGTTTAGTCGCATGGCCTCCACCGTAGGTGACATGCCATGCCCGTGGACTCTTGTCCCGTGGAGTGCCGAGGCCTAGCGGGTGCCGGAGCTGATCGTGCCGAGGCCTTCTTTGCCGAGGCCTCTGAGGTGACCTGTACGACGCGCAGGGTCTCTCGTGGTCTGTGGTCGCACTGCATTCCGGTGAAAAAGTGCGGAATGGGCGTCCCACAGGGAGCCGTAGTCTCTGCACCGCCGAGGGGGATGGTAAAAAGGTGATTTGACCGCCGTCCCATCGCCCTTTTTGCCATACCCTGCCAATCGTGGCTGACGTAGGCGTAACTAGGGATACTTACACGGATGGGACGGCCCGCCAGAGGGGCAATTGAGGCGGAGGCGACGAGAATGCGGGATGAGCCCGGCCTCGGCCGAGGCGGAGAAGGAATGGCGCGTCCGAGGCCTTGCCGGGGGGTCTCGGACGAGGCAGAGACCGAGCAGCTGGGCTCTCCTGCTGTTTCCGAGGCTACAGGGACATGGACTCGACCTTCCATGCCGCTTTGTCCTTGGCGCAGGGGTTAGGTAGCACAGGGCAGTATAAGTGTCAGGAGGGAGCACAGTGGTGAGTATAGTGGTAGGTAACCCCGCCGTGCCCGGGTCCCCTGTCCCTGTCGGTTGTTCTCGCAAGACTGCACTCAAGGCAAAGGCGGCCGACGCTTATGGGAGTGGTTGGGTGCATTTAATCCGGACGTGACGTTTTGCCAGAGGAGTTCGGTCGGGACGGAGGTTACGAGTACGTCCGCCGAGCCCGGCCTCGAGCGAATCGGAGAATTGGAGATCCGTCCGAGGCCTTTCGGGGCGAGGCTTTGGCGAGAGGGTCTCGGCGAGAGGGCCTCGGCGGGACGTTTTAGGCCTGTTTCGCATGAGGCCTCGGCGCAAAGCCTCGGGCGAATCGGAGAATTCTGCCGAGACCTTGCAGTAGTCTTTTGGCTTTGGTTTTAGCAAGGCTTAAGCAATATTCTTAGATCTTGCTTAGGGTACCATTTTTTGTGGTATCCGACACTATCCGTGCAGCTCATAGTTATCCCTTCAGAACTAAGTCAACCTATGTATGCACAGCTAGTTTTTCCAAGAGAAACCAAAACAAAAAGGACACATTTGGCCACACTCGTTCCTTTTTTTTTCCTTTCAATCACTACAAAGGTAACGTATGCACACGCCAACACCACACAAAACTACACGTCTGTGTGGTTCCTGCTTCCACATGTACTTGATCAATGTATACGTAGGACAAGGTCCTAAACTATTGGCCTGGAGAAACTTACAAGCAAGTCCGGCCTTCTGAATTTCTAATTAACTTTTCCGTAAACAACTCAGGTGATAAGCTGATCCACTCCCCTTTCGGCATATGCAGCTCCTAGATAACCCAAATCATGCACACACACACACTGACCCTCCAAATTAAACAAATGCAACAATCCCTCGCGATGTGGTTTACGAACTACACATCTGCTTCCTTCTCATTGGTATAAACGCAGGTACTATATTCCCAGTACCTGATTGAATCGGACACACCGTCAAATTATTGCGAGTCCGCGAAAGTCTAGTCCAGCACGTAGCATGCCGCACGCGCTAATCGAGAACAAGAACAAAACCGCATGCGACTTTCGCAGGACGCACGAGCGCAGTGGACAGTGGTCGTTCCATGGGTTTCTTTCTCGACCACTGATTCAGTGCTGTCCAAGGTCCAGTCCAACCGACGACCGAGTAGCCGCTCGCTCGCGATCTACAGCGAGCCGAACCAAAAGCAACGCCCGCGCTTGCCCAGCGCACGCCTCGCGATGCGTGCGGCGGGCGTATCGCGCGCGCACGGATCGCGGCGTCCGGCGTGGCGCGAGCCGCGCCGGCGGGCAGGGTCAATGCGCGTGGGGCCCGACCCACCGACCACGACCCCGTCCCCGCCACACAACGGGCATCCTCCTTTTCCTCTTCCTCCGTGGAACGCCCCGGCGAGCAGCAAAAAATCGGCCCGCCTTTTTGGAGCGATCCTGGAGATCACGCGACCTTTATAAAGCGCGAGCCTCGCCACGGGACGCCCCCTCCGAATCAGAACCGCGCGCCCCATTGGCTCGCGCACGCACGACCGGTCGCCCGCTTCCTTGGCAAAGCCTCGCTCCTGGTTTTTCCACGCGCGGCTTCAAGCTCCTCGGTCGGTGCAGTTCGCAGCGGGCGGCCGGGACACGGCACTCCACACACACACGCTTCATAGATTGCAGCTCGGCGCGTTGGAGGCAGGCAGGCAGGGATGGAGCCGGTGGGCAGAGGCGGGGATGGCGGCGGTGGAGGCCGCGGGAGGGGCTGGAAGGGGAAGGGCGTGACCTCGGGCTCCGCCGCGGGCAGGCAGCTGGCGCCAGTTTTAGAAGACGCGCCGGCGGCCGCATTGCTCCGGCCCCTGAAGAAGATCCGCAGCCCGGACCGCCGCCTCAACCGCTCCCTGTCCTCGCTCTCGTCGGCTCCGCCTTCCCCTGACTCGTCCTCTGTTTCCAACCCCTTGTCGCCGCCGGCAACGTCGCTGCCATCGACGCGACACATATTTCCGTTCGCGTACGATCAGGCTCCGGCGGCATCGACGACAGCGGTGGTGCCAGCGTCCACGGCTGGGTCGCCGAGGCTCCTGCCGCTGCTGCAGTACTCCAGCGTGTTCCAGCAGCCTCTGCCGCCGCAGCAGCATCAGCAGCCTTTGCAGCACCAGCAGATGATTTCGTTCGGAAGCAGCGAGCAGCCGCACCAACAGTTCGGGGCGGCGGCAGCGGCGGCGGCTCCTCTGTTCCCGCCGCAGCTCCTGGCGCCGGAGGTGCAGCAGCAAATGCTGCTGCGCTACTGGAGCGAGGCGCTGAACCTGAGCCCCCGCGGGTTCCGCGGCGGGGCCGTGCAGCCGGCGCTGCACCAGCAGCTGCTGCTGCGCGCGCCGGCCCCGCCCACCAAGCTCTACCGCGGCGTGCGGCAGCGCCACTGGGGGAAGTGGGTGGCGGAGATCCGCCTCCCGCGGAACCGCACGCGCCTGTGGCTCGGCACCTTCGACACCGCCGAGGACGCCGCCATGGCGTACGACCGCGAGGCCTTCAAGCTCCGCGGCGAGAACGCCAAGCTCAACTTCCCCGACCTGTTCCTCGGCAAGGGCCGCGTAGGCGGGAGCGGCCGCACCAGCGCCAGCGCGGCGGCGTCGTGCTCCTCCTCTTCCTCGTCCGCTCCGCCGACGCCCGACGACAATCACACGAAGCACGCTCAGCAGCATGACGGTGAACAACAGCCGTGCAACAGCGAAGCGACGCCTCTGCTCCCGGAAACAGAGCAGGGAAAGAGCTCCGAACCCGAGCCAGATCCTCAGCTCCAGTCGGCCGATCACCAAGGCGGTGACGGCAACGCGGTCATGTTTCAGCCGTCGGTGGCGTCGGGCGGCGTGTGGGGTCCCGCCGACGAGGCGTGGTTCAGCGCCTGGGGCCCGGGCAGCTCCGTGTGGGACTACGACATGGACAACGCCGACGGCCTCTTCCTCCAGTCTCGCTTCGCCAGTGAGGCGACCAGCATGGACTACGTGTCCAGCGCGCCGGCAGCCCCGGCGGCACCGGCAGCAGGCACCGCCGTGGCCTCCGCTGCCTCCCTTTCTCCTCCTCCTCCCCGCAGTCCAACCTACATGTGGAAGGACTGAGCATCGCACACGATCTTCACGCGCAGGAAGTATCCAGGACGCGGGATGCGCATAGGTTGCAGGTTCCGAAACGCTGGTCTCACTGATTTGTCGTGAGAGAAAAATATTATTCAGGCTAAAAAAACGAGTTGAAAAAGATGGATTTTAAGAGTCAGCTTGTGGCATCTCGCGGTACGATCGCCATTTCACACAGCAGGAGCATCTGAAGGTCTGAAGGACCGTCATTTTATCTGGACCTTTCCCTCTGACCGCTTTTCTCTCCTGATGAAACACCATAAGGAATCCCGGCTGGATTTTTGAGGCTGGGGACAAGGATGGCCTCTATTTCAACCGCCATCCTTGCTGATATTTCCATGACGATTTCATGATTCCAACATGATCTTTAGGTATTTCATTTCTAGCATGTTTCCTTGCTGCATGATTTGTAGTTGCATGCAGGCTATTAGGGACGGAGAGGAGACGGGTTTTATGCTCTCCTCTGCTCTTAGCTAAGGTTTATGCCTTTATGTCACGTACTGCATTGTACTAGTGCTATGGTACAAATATGAGAGCCAATGTGTGCGTGTGTTTGTGTGCCTTGGATTTGGAATATATTTATATATATATGTACTCCGTATGTCATTGGCAAAACTACCTTTTATCTAGTGTCAGTTTCATGTTTAATGAATGGATTCCTAGTTGCTTAAGAATTGGTGATGTACATTTCCTTCTTATCCTCGAATGCATACTATGTCCTCGAGTTTAACTGATCAATCACATGAGCAGCTAAGAGCACTTTGTAAGTTTTTACAAAAGTTGCTAACAGGAAATCGTCTAGACATTGGATTCTTGTTGTAGTGTAGCCAGATAACGAAGAGAAAGGCTCAGGATGTCGCCCAAATCTGAGCCCAGACACCGGATACTTTTCTTCTCTCTGGCCCAAGAACAAAGCCCAAATATTGTGCCGGAGATGCAGTACTAGTATTTGGGCCTTCACCGGTATATAGGTCGTAAAGCTCAATTCAGCACGCACTGACGGGAGAATCTCAACTGTAGAAGTCCACCTCGACGAGTCCGACGCGTTCGTTGCGTCGGCCAATCATGTCGCGGCCGCCGTCGCCGATGCTCTCCGTCCCGGAGAAGAAAACCGCCGCCGCCGAGCTCTTCCGCGACCACCACTTCTTCGGCGCCGCGTCCTTCTCCGACATCCGCGACGCCCGCGCCGCGGTCGCCGTCCCGAACCCGCAGGCCCAGCCACCCGCCTCCCGCCGCGCCCTCCTCCTCCGCTACCACCGGCTCCTCTTCTCCGCGCGCGACGACCCCTGCGCCTTCGACGAGACGTTGTCCTTCACCTGGAACGACGCCTTCCGCCCCCACCTGAAGCACGCGGCCGCCTCCCTCCGCTTCGAGAAGGCCGCCCTCGTGTTCAACGTCGGCGCGGCCGCCTCGAGGATCGCGGCGGCCGTGAGCCGCGCCACGGAGGAAGGGGTGAGGGCGGCGTGCGGGGAGTTCCAGCGCGCCGCCGGGGCGTTCCGCGCGGTGGGGGAGATGATGGAGGAGGAAGAGGTGACGACGGTGGATATGAGTTCTCAGGCCTCGGCGATGCTGGAGCGGCTCATGCTCGCGCAGGCGCAGGAGTGCTGTTTCGAGCGCGCTCTCGCCGCGGGGAAATCACCGCCGGTGTGCTCCAAAGTGGCTAGGCAGGTGAGATTTTACTGACTGCACGCCCTGTTCCTATACATTCCTCTCGTTATGTCTCTGTTGGGGGGTTTAATTGCAGTGCGTTTTGCACAACTTCAGAGATCAAATTCTTTGCAAAATGCAGAAATGCGCTTTTAACAGTTTATGACTACTCGCTGATCGAAGTTTGATGAAAATTGTTTTGGGTATTTCAAGATGAGAAAATGTATGTTAAAAGCAAACACTGAAAAAATGGTAGGAGTGGCCAATTTGTTCGTGTTGATCCAACGAGGAACTGAAGATGGTAGTGCTCCGGTGCTCCCTAGTAGATTTGCCAGGTTGGTCAAGAAATCTGAATTCGAAATGCACATGTTCCCTTTTGAGTGAACCCATGGGAGGGTGATAGAGATTAGAGGGCGCAAATGTTGATGCTTTTGAAATTGGCATTAGTTTGGAGCTTTAAGTCAATTGCATTGTCCAAATTAGATTGTCCCCATTGTGAATCAGTTCCATCTCTGGTAGCTCTGAGATCTACTTCCAGCTATGATCGTGAATCCCTATTAAAAAGATGTAAATTCATTTACAAGTAGATCATGGTAACATATCCAAATAGAAGAATCAATCAATACTACATCCAGTCATAATTAGATGATGTTCCGGACAGCAAATTTGACTTATACATACTCCCTCCTTTCCAAATTATATACTTTTGACCAAGTTTGTTAACATATTTTTCTTTGAACTTAGGACAAAGTTTGAGAAATTGGACTTAGGATAAAGCTAAAGTGAACTATAATTTGGAATGGCGGAGTAGTTAGTTACTCCTTCCAGTTTCCTAAAGGAAGTCGTTTTGGACAATGACACGGTCTCCAAAGCATAACTTTGACTTCTATTTGTAAAAATATTTATTAAAAAATGACATTTGTATAGGGCAGACCCAGTGCCGGAGGCTCCCACATGAGTGGGGTCTGGGGAAGGGGAAAACCGAGGCAAGCCTCCCCCCCGCAAAATCTACGGAGAAGCTGCTTCGAACCCATATGAATAGATTTGTCTTGAAAAATGCTTTTATAAAAGTATACAAATGTCACAAATCTATTCATATGGTTTTTACATTTCTAAACTCAACACTTAAAAGTTACTTATTATGATTTATGTTCCCAATGTTTGACTCAGGCCATGTCTAAAACGACATCCTTTAGGAAACTGAAGGGAGTACTTTTTACTGTTTGAAACATCATCTCATTATGCCTGGAGGGAGTATAATTCTATAGGATCATGACACTGTTCTATAATGAAAATGAATGTCATTTGATCTGTTAAATACTTAAATGATTCTGTCATTCTTCCTGCAGTGCTGGTTGCAGTTGATTCTAAAGTTCGATGTTGCTTGGTTGCATATTTACTTCATTAATCACCGCAACAAATAAAACAAAGCGAATCGGAAAAGTTGGCTAGCCAAGTGAGATTTTAGTCATTAGTTTACATATGGTGACAGGTTGATGCCTTGTTATCCTTGACAGATTTTGATTTTGTACAACTAGATATCTTAGTGGATTGGTGAACACACCAAACATAAAAAAATGAATCTTTGTAAATCCCAGGTTGAGGGTTATGAAACATGTGAAGGAGGAATTACATTTTGAATAGATAAAGTTGAAGAGAATTCAAACTTAGGTGGTTTGAGTGTACATCCAAACCATCGGTTCTAGAAGTTTGGGGATTATACCTCCTCTTAAAGCTAACAAGTTGATTGAGATATTTAGACAATGCCCATTACTCCTTCCAATTACTATGTTATGGGATGCACATCGTAGACAGCATCTTGAACTTTAAGGCTTAGTTTGGTCAGGGGAAAGAAATTCAGAAAGGGAGAGGAACTTTATAGAGACTAAAGTAATTCAATTTTGTTTTATCGACCAAAGGTTAGCTTAAACTATATGGACAGTTCTGATTGAAATTTAAAGGAGAATAGAAACTAAAAGTAGATAAATGGATGATCCTAGTTTCCCAAATTGTTAACTAATCTGAGAGAAGAGGTGGCTCGGGAAAACTCAGTAGATTGATTATGGAGGTACCAAATGAATACAATATATATAGGCAAGGATTGTCAAGGGTTTATAGAAACACCCAATCAATGGTGATCCTTGCCTAACCCAAGATCATCTACCATAAAACCCCAAGGGGCGCCTACAGGCGCACTCAGACCAAGCCCAGGGCGTTACAGCCCATACAGCAATGCTAATGACCCAAGATACAGCCCATAATCTAACATAATCTCTAGTTGATGGTGCTACTGCTATTTTTTTGTGCCTTCTGTGATGGTACTAGTAAGCATGCATGACACTGTTTATCATTTTATTAGAGCGACAAAATAAATAGATGTGTTTGTACGTTGCTCAGCATTCAAAAATTCTGTACCGTTTCTTGTGTGAAAAAACCATTCACCTCAGGAAAGGCTAAACTCTTATGTGTCTGGCTATATGCAGGCTGCCCTGTACTATGAAGAAGCTTATGCTGCACTAGTTGCTCCTCCGCTGCAGAACCACTTTGAAAGATCATGGGTATCCCATATCCAATTGAAGGCTGCTCTGTTCAATGCAGAAGCTTGCTATAGGTACAGTATTGAACTCCATGGGAAGACAGAAATTGGTGAGGAGATATCTCGATTGCAGGTCGGAATTAAGGCACTTGTGGATGCAAAGCGAACTGCAAGAGGAGCTCCTGGACCCCTGTATGACTATGCTTTCAGACTAGAACGAGATATGAACAAGAGCATGGAGACAGCGAAAGAGGAGAATTATCGCGTATATCTTTTTCGCATTCCGGCTGCTGAATCATTGGCCTCTCTGCCAGCAGCTTCACTCGTCCGTTCTGCATCCTTGAGTGAGATCTTAGATCCAAAGACTGAATACAGCACTCAATCTCCATAAATGGATGCTTTTGATATGGTAAAGTTATGGAATGGTACGTGCATAGTTGCATTTGCATGTAAAGATTTCCCTCTATAGCAGAATTTGTAGGGTTGATAATGTTCATTATCATTCTTATTTTGTTGTTCTGCCGGAGTCTAAATAGGTGCACAATTCGGCTGATGATATTTGCGGAGATGCAACTAATATTTGCGTTGACGCGTTTGTGATATGTTATGCTGCCCTTGGATAGGAAAATTTTGCTGCTAGGTAGTTTCTATTTTTGGTGGTGTTCAACTTGAAGTCGTCATCAGTCCTACAAACCTATCCTGTTGGGGTTTAAAGCAAAATGAGCTATGCGAACTCTATTCTTTGTGTATAAATAGCTATGCGAATTCTATTCTTTGTGTATAAATAGCCTTTTTCTCGTTACGGTTTCGTTATAGCAATGTAATCGTCATTGGCATGTTTGGTTGATGCCTAACTTTGCTGCAACTAAGATTAGATGAAATGTAGCCAATAAATCGAGCACCACACTTGTTGCAAAGTTTGCCATCGAAATGACTATGAGATGTGGGACATATGGCTAAGAAAGTTTGGCATCAAAATGATTATGACATGTGGAACATATGACTAAGAAAGTTTGGCACGTCATAGTTGTGAACTATGATATAAACCAAATACATGCCTAGTAAATTGTGGCGTGTATAACTTGTGGATTGGCAAGTTGTTGAAACAAACCAAACAACTCTATTCAGACGCAAAGTGCCAATTCATCGAAATTCCTGCACGGCGTTATGTATCTTCTGCAATGACAAACATAAGTTCATCATGGAGGGGTGTTATGTATCTTCTCCTTTCACAAATATAATTCATCGTGGAGGTTTTGTATTCGTAAACGACATTATTTCATTTTGCTGTTTTGTTGATAACACGTGTATAACAGGATAAATGTGTTGGAAAGAATGATGTGCGGTTTTATCCATATTAATCTCTCTCTCTCTCTCTCTATTTTCATTATTTATTTGCCACATCACTGTAAATTCAAAAAAAAAATTGAATCATACTCAGACACTTATATATGGATGTAGATTCACTCCTACGAACTCATACACACACAATACCGGAATACCCCTATGTACAGACGCCAATGAACCAGCGCACAAATTTCCAATTCCGTACCTTCTCCTTTTCTAAGTTATAAGACGTTTTGGCTTTTCTAAATTTATAGGTTTCGCTAGACAGCTAGATATAAGTCATCTCTAGATACATAATAAAAAATATGTAACTAGAAATGATAAAATGTCTTATAGTTTAGAATAGAGAGAGTATTTCTCAGCAGAAACGACTAAGGGCAGCCCTATGCAGGCTAAGAGTAGTGGTCTCAGCTAAAAGTTATGCTACACGTAGACAACACATATTTAAGCAACCAAAGTTTTCAACGCAGGTTAATGCTTTTCATTCTTACGAGTGCTGTCACTTTGTCCTCTCTTATGAAAAGCTGCATTTACTTTTACTGCACAAAAGAATCAACTAGTGGCTTCAATCGTGCAACGCGGGTGGGAGCGATTGCTTCTGATTTGTGTCAGATAAGGCTAATGTATTCTCTGCAGGCTTCTTTGTACCTGCAGAGCCACCATCGTTGTTGATCGGGCCACCAAATGCTGATGTGGACTATGAAGCTAACATCCAACCTGGAGCGTTGGGCAAGCCCTAAGGCAACTCCAGCCCTAACATCGAACTGAGGTCAGTTGAAAATCGATTTTGCAGATGGTTCGGTCTTCCTAGTGCAAGCATCGGTTAATGGGGTCCATAAAACAATTAAAAAGTACTACTCCCGTTCGTTGTTCAGAAACTTAGCTGAAACTGACTGATTGTTGTGAGAGAGAAACACTATAGCGGCTGGTTGATGAACAATATTTTTATGGAGGAGCAACCGACTGGTCTAAAACAACCAGACCAGCGAACGCGCCCATGCTTTTATTGCTTCAACTGCATGTGCAAGTGATTTGGGAGTTGTGCTTCGTTTTTTTATTGCCCACGGTGCGAACCGATAGTAAGGGCGCGTTTAGCTTCGTGAAAATTTTCGGGTTTGGCTATCTGTAGCACATTCGTTTGTATTTGACAATTAGTGTCTAATTATGGACTAATTAGGTTCGAAAGTTTCGTCTCGCGATTTCTCACCCAACTGTGTAATTAGTTTTTTTTCGTCTACGTTTAGTACTCCATGCATATGACGTAAGATTCGATGTGACACTTTGAGGTGAAAATTTTTTGAACTAAACAGGGCCTAAGAGTCTGCTTTTGCTCTGACATCCCACGGTTCGATGTTTGCACAGCTCAGCTCATGGTTCGATTTGAAGATACACAGGCGCGTGCGTAGCGTCCCGGCGGCAAGTGGCCAAATAGAGGACCCGTTTTCGACGAATTTGGATGGTTTGAAGGAATGCTGGAGAAATTTATGAGAAAAAATATTATTCCTGGATGAAAAAAGAAGTGGATAAGCCGGCTTTAAGGGCACACGAACAGGGGCAGAGCCGGCGCCACGTGGCGAGTCGGCGAAGTGCAAACCGTGGAGGTGCCGTGCCACGCGCCCATGCCAAATCGTCGCCGTCCTCGCCTCTCTCGCCTGTCCCGGCGCCCCGGGCACGGCGAGCAGAGCAACCACAGCCAGCCAGCCAGGCGTGCGCTCCCGCCTTATCCCGTTGATTTCCGTGCTAGATGCTGTGCAAACTCGCCAGATTCTCAGCATTTCCCGAGGCCCAAACGAACGGAGAGGGTCGGAGGCAAACCAAAGGCATCAACCTCGGTAGAAGCCATACGCAACTCGCAGTCGCAGCGGCCGTCCGCTCCCCTCCGCCTTTCGTTTGCCCCGCGCCTCTATCCTTTCCTCGCCTCTCCGCGGCCACCACCTGTTCGACCCAACACAGGAGTCCCCTCCATCCTCCACCCACACGCCCGCCCACCCGCCGCGCGCATACCCCAATGGCGACCGCCACCGCGTCCGTGGCGCCGCCCTCCACCTCCACCTCCTCGGTGCTCCTGCACCGCCGCCTCCCTTCCCCGTCGCCCGCGTCCGCCGCCTTCCCCCGGCTCCCCGGCCCGCCCCCGCGCCGCGCGCGGCTGCTCCTCCAGGTCGCGCTCACCAACGAGGTGACCTCGGAGTCGGACGACGTGGCGGCCGAGGAGGCCGCGGCCGCGCCCAAGATCGGCCGGCGGGTGCGCGTCACGGCGCCGCTCCGCGTCTACCACGTCCTCAAGGCGCCCGACCTGGACATCCAGGGCATGGAGGGCGTCGTCAAGCAGTACGTCTGCGTGTGGAAGGGCAAGCGCGTCACGGCCAACCTCCCCTTCAAGGTCGAGTTCCAGCTCGCCGTCGAGGGCCAGCCCAAGCCCGTCCGGTTCTTCACCCACCTCCGCGAGGACGAGTTCGAGTTCGTCGATGAGGAGTGAGTTACGGCGTCAGAGTGCGTTCGAGTAAGCGGCGAGCGCCGTTCTTATAGAATAATCATGGCCGCGGCGGTCGCTTGTCTATATTGTTCCGGTGTAGGAGCTCGTGAGGCATGCATGGCAAATGCTTGCTTACTCGCTGCCTGTTGTGCTGCTCAGGCTCTTCTTCCTCGTTCGGTTCAGCATCTATTTTTCACAGCTGTGGGGAATTGTTCGGATGTTGGTGATCATCGATAGTTATAATAGTGATAATTTTGCCGCTGTTTGTTGGCTATGCTCTGTGCTTAGTTATTTTGTTGATTCTTCCAAGGAATTCGTTTGTCTGATCGGTACAAAATGCATTGCAACTAGGAATTGTTTCCTTTGACTATAAAATCTGGTTAATTTATACTCCCTCAGTTCAATTTATAGGTCGTTTTGACACTCGTAGACACACAATGTTCACTGTTCATATACTGTTTGTGTCGTTGCACTACCACTGTTCAGTCCACTGTAACGTCACTATTATCTGTTGCTCTTACTATTCACGCGCTTTCCATCCGCGCGCGGCGGAGCTTGCGTAACGTCCTCCTCAGTAGGAGAAGCAGCAGTTGTTTACAATGCATCAAATAAAAAGAGTGTCTACTACACAACTATGTGTTTTACTTAATTTCAACATATAAATTTTTTTTTATCATAGGATTAAGATCCAACAGTTTCCACTATTTTTCTACCTCCAGCTTCCACAGATCATAGATAACGTATCATAATTTTTTTTCTATAGAAGGATATATCACATATCCGCCGCCGCCGCCATTGCCATGGCCGGCGTGGGCTCCGGGGCGAGCTCGCCGGTCGTCGGCGCCGGCGCAGGTGGTCACCGGTGAGAACGAGAGAGTAAGATAGATAAAAAAAATCTATGTATTTTTTTTTGATAAAATATACGTGTGTTGTATAGCATTTTGGAATAAAAACAAGGTGTACAAACACGTTACCAGCACAATGCTGGAATGGCCTCACCAAATTTTGTTGGATCTTGCCATAGACCCAAGTACAACGCTACAGCCTCTTCATTGATTTTTACACGAAGTGTTTCCTCCGTGGATTGCTGGTTTTAGAAAACCCTTCCATTTCGATCTTGCCATACACGTCTGCATATTATTCCACACTAACATATTAGATTACTCTACTTTCATTGTTTTTTAAATTTATATGAGCTAGCAAGTTGACTTTATTGTTGATTATATCTATACGAGCTAGCAAGTTGACTCTACTGGCGGAGCCAGAGAGGGGTCGACAAGGGCCGTGGCCCCTCCCAACTTCAGATGCAATTTGTTTCATTAATTAGTGCTAATATGTCTTAAGCTATTATTCTATATACATATTTGGCTACGCCTGTTTTTTCGAGCATTTGGCTACGACTATTTGCAATGCATATAAAGTAGAATAGAACAATTAGGTATGGCCCCGAAGAGTTGGAGAATCAAACTATAACATTATTTTCAATTCTTATGTATAATTGGAACTTATGAATTTTATATGAACAAAATAGAAATTTTACATGAAAAAAACATAGAAATAGAATAGTTATGCGTTCCAAACAAGGTCTTAATCGTGATTACTACCCATGTTTGATGTAGTACAGCAAGCGGCATGCCAAATGCCACTCTACTCGCCTGTTGTACGTAGTCGCATTTCGACGGTGTTGTTCTCATCATAATAGCACGCGGTGCCACACGCTCACTACTAGGCGCAAGCCATGAGGCAGGAGCAGGAGTGCAGGACATATATGACTTAATTATTAACCCTTTGTAGCTGTTGATGTCCTTCACATACTTTTAGATTTTGTATATTGTAAAATTGATGGAATTTTTAATATAAAGATTTGATGTCCGCATGGTTAATAAAAAATTTATGATAAATATGTACATATATATGATTGGTCCCTATTATTAGAAGTTTCTATATACTATATGTCGGGCCCCCTCTATATCTAGTTTCTGGCTCCGCCCCTATTGTTAATGATATCTATCGATATGAGTTAGCAAGTTAATTTTATTGTTGATGATGCCCTAGTAGTAGATTTTTTTTTGAGGGGAGCCCTAGTAGTAGATGAAGTCCCCATCGGAGACTGAGGCCCGTTGTCATCCCTATTTGTATGTGTAGACTGTATGAGTGTAGTGATATCCTGAATGGAAATTTGTTTCCGAGATTAAAAAAAAAAGGAACATGAAGATAGGCCATGGGCCTCAGGCTTTTAAGCCTTGTATGTACAACTCGGACCTCGGGCCGTTTCCACTTTCCAGCCTACCAGGGTTTTTGGCGACTATGTAAGACAACCGGCTCTTGTACCTCTCTCTCCGCTGCTTCTCCGCCGCCGCCGCCGGCTATCCGAGCCCTATCTCCCCGTTGGCGGGGTAAGGTTCATCACACCTTCCCGTTCTCCTATGCACGCCGTCACGCGCAGAGGCACGGAGCGCCGGTCGTCGAGCAGCAGCTTCAAGGCGTCGAGCAACAAGGGCAAGGCGTCGGCTGTTGGCGCAGGCACGCAGCCAACGGAGCGGGCACTGCCACGGGGCGGCGTGCATTCCGCTCACCCGTGAACCCACGTCGTGGTCACTTTCCCCCAGCCGGGAGCCGCCAATTGAACCTACCAGTTCCAGCCAGAGCTTCCCCCCTCGCCATGGCAGCCTCCGCCGCAGCTCAACGTAGATCTGCAGGAAGGAGGACGACGTACGAGAGGGCAGAGCTCGAGGCGCTCAGGGACGCCCCGTCGAAGGAGGCTCACGCGCGGCTGTGGGCCGACGTCCGCGCTGCCCTCGCGGCCTCCGGGTTCTCCGGTGAGTACGACGGGCTGCTCGCCGCCGAGGAGGACGTCAGGAGCAGGAGGGGTAATAGGGGGATGAAGACTATGGGCGTGAGGAAGTGGCCCGAAGAGGCGGCGGCGGCACGGTTCTTGGGTACGTCTCTTCTCGTCCTTGCCCCTTAGAGCAACTCCAAGAGCCTCTTAATTGATAATTGATGTTGCTCTAAGAGCCTCTTAATTGATAATTGGTAGGAATAGAGATTTTGGTGAAAAATACCCTTGAACAGATTCTTTAATTAGATTTTCAAATATTGTCAATCCTGTATTTCGGATTTCTTGTAAGACAAAGATGCATAGCGGGGCTGGCTCTAGAGTGGGCACAAGATATAGGAAACTTGTTGGAGGCTGAAATATAGCGAGCGGTTTTTATTCAAATGAGTCTCCAAATGATGATTTAGAGAGTGAGTTTAAGAAAGACTCTTGGAGATGCTCTTAAGAACTTGTGTGCAAAATTAAATCATTTTGCTTGTTAAATATGCTGCTAGTAATTTTCTTGCGATGTCCTCATTTGTTATATGATACCTGTGTAGGTGTTGCAGAGATTGGTGCCCACAGAAATGGGGATCTGGCGGTTTGTGACGAACACCGCTCTGAGTCTGCTCATGACCATGCTGGGGCATGCGGAGTGGTTGAAGAGCCGTTTCATCAAGGTGAAGATGTGGAATATGAAGATGATAGTGACGATGACTATGAGGGAATTCTGAAGCCTGCATTTGCTGTGGATGGAGATCCAGATTTCGAGTCTGGCGAGCCACTTGATGGCTTTGAGTACCTTCGGCGTGTCAGGTATTCTTTGCTTCTGGTTTCCTCAGATTTATAGGACCCGAACATGATATTGTGATGCCAAACAAAGATTCGTATTACTGGGTTGCCCATCTGTGCACGATTCATTGTATTCTTTAGTCAATATTTAATTTAACCTGAACAATTACTACTGTTACAAGGCTCTATTGCATGATGCAACACCCTAGTCTTGCTAGTATGTATTATTTAGTTTTTGTGGCCATTAAGGGCTTTTTATTATATATGGTTCAGTGTTGAATAGATGAATATCCATTATCTTAGTAAGATCAATATCTCTTGCAATTAGGTTTACTCACTGTGACTTCAACATATGAACAAATGTGAATTATAGTAAAGTGACATTTGATTACTAGGATTTCTCCATACTAGCTTGTTTTGGTGAAGTTTACCAAATGAACTAATGGTTAGAAAATAGGATGTCAAACTATGACTAGTTATATTTGCTAAATAGGATCTCCCAAACCTACCTACCAGATAGAAATATCGGTAGTTCATTTTGTGAAGCTATTAAGCTAAAGCTGAACCCAACAATATATAAGGTGGGGACCTCAGTTTTCTATTATTTTTTTAGATATACTTCTCGTGATCATCAATTGGCTTACCCGAAAACATTACTTTGACTATGGCATGAAAACATTGGTTTACAGGTGGGAAGCTAACCAAATTCCTAGAGTGAAGGTAGCCAAGATATATTCAAGCGCAGCTAGAAATGAGCAAACTCCTTATATGCCAGATATTCCGGACATACCAAAGTGCTTACCTGATTTGCGTGCATCAAAACAATGGGAGGACACATTTATCACCCAGTTCGCGGAAACCAGGATGGTAAGCTATCTTGTGTAGTTTAAAAGATGCAAACATTTATAACCACATTTCAGCTTTGTTTTCTATTTCTCATAATTACCTTCGTAAAGACAACACCCTAATGATTGTAATATTGCTTCTTAATTTGTTGGCATACCATTTTTTTATAAAAGAACTTGTTGACATATTTTACTATTTTGTTGGACACTTGACCCTTAAATTTTAGTGGCACAAGTCTAGAGCAATTGCAAACATGTCTTATGATTCAATATGTTATTTCATTTGGCAACGAACACTTCTTTTCTTATCTATAACCTATGTTGGAATAATTCTGTATGTTATTACTGTATGGTTTGTTCTGTTGTCACATAAATTATTTTATTTTCATGATGGGGCAATGGGTATCCTTTGTTCTTAGGAAGGGAAGTGTTAAAAAAAGTGCATCCTGAAAATCTGACAGCTATGGTGCCTTATCACACTAGCAGTATGTTTTATTCTAATGTTTGTTTTTACAGTTTGCTTGCTTTTTGTATGATACAATGGTGAATGTTTGCTCCTAGATGCAATCCACAATCTGCATGCTAAAACAAACAGGGCCTTACTGTATTGTCTGCATATTAAATAAATGGTACCGTCATCAAGCCAACAACTGTACCGTCAGTAGGATTTCTATGATGCAAGGGCTAGTATGACCATACTAGTTACTCTTGGAACTTGAGTACTCCCTGGTTTGCAGTGCCTTTTTTTCTTTTTCTTGAGACTGCCATTTAATAAATTATTGTCACCTGGTATAGTATCATATTTATAGAAATCTCCAATCCAGAGTATGACACCAAAAAGATTCTTTCTTCTTATATGCAATGACTTGAACTTACTGGTTTTTCAATTTGAATGCTTGACTTTAGCTACCATCTTCTGCATATTTACCTTCTTCACAGCATCTACTAATTATATGAGATTATTAATTTCCTCAGGTGCTCTCTGAGCTTGACAATTCTGATGAACCATCTGCATCTAGTGCGACAAAAATCTCAACAAAACCTGGCAACAGATCAGAGCCACAGACTGAACCGTCCCTGACAATGATTCGCAACATGGATGCAGTTTCAAGAGCTGCGACACTTAGGAACTACATTGATATGATTCAAAGCTTGGATACACTATCAAGGAATAACTGCCTGTGGCTCTTTGCACTCTGTGTTGCCATTCACACCCCCTTGGACGCAGAGACGTGTGCCTCACTAAGGTCCTTGCTGCGCAAGTGCGCCACCATCCTTGCCACCAAGACTGAGATGGACGATGAGGTTGTAATGCTGAATATACTGATGACAATTTCAGGAAGGTATTTTGGACAGGGTGAAAACAGCAATTAAATAGGAGATCAGGATAACACCATTGCAGAGCTTCATTCTCGCTGATAGTATGATGTCAGAATATATTATATTATATACGTGAAAGCTGTGTTTCATTTTCTTGTAATTGCTAGTTGGTTACTGCATCCAAAGCAGGCCTGCTAGGGTATTACTGAAGTTAGCACCTACGGGCTACGGCGTTGCTCGCATCCGGAGTGTTGCAAAAGCAGGGGTCATAATCTCGTTCAGGTCGGCCTCGAACAACAGAGCCGGTCTTTATCGTGACCCTAAGCAAAAAGTCTTTATCGTGAAAAAAAAAGAGGTCCGACCTAAAGGCAAAGAAGACCCGCTACTATGTATAATCATTAGATTAGAAAAACAAGAATTCCGCCAGTCTTCTCGCGCGCACGCCATGGCCGCTGGCGCTGGCCGTCGCCCATCCTCGCCTTGACCTCTTGCTTGCCTCTAGACCGATGGCGCGGAAGTCGCAAGGGATTGACGAGGCCGGTCGACAAGGTGAGCACATGAGCTAGCCATCGCCTTTGTCGACGACTCGACGGTTGAGGTGGCCTTCTAAAGCGAGCTGCTCCGGCGATACTGGGTGGCCGGTGACTAAATATATAAAATATATCAATATTTATGTTGTGTAATAAGTATCATTAGCTAGATTAAATAGTGATATATATGTTCAAGAATTATTTAGAGATAAAAATGCTGATGCTATTTTTTATAAACTCATGCAAACTTAAAATAATATAACTTCTGGATAAGTGAAATGTGTAAGAACCGATGGAGGAGAGTAGAAACGCATTTTTCAAGATCCGCAGTGCTGAGTGCTGAGATAGGCTGGTAAGCTTCTTGTTGCTGCGTAGGGTAGGGCTGCACTAGTGATTTCCATGAGACGTTGGGTGTGGTGTCAATGCGTCCTGGTTAATCACTCCGTTATCCTTTTCCTTTTTGCGTTAATTAAATCTCTCTATTCGTGTGGCAAAAGGTTGCGATGAACTCCGACACTACGTTGAAAGACATCGAAAGCAGTGCGGTGTGCACAGGGGACATCGAAAACAGCATGCCTCCTTTCCGCTTCGCGTTTTCAGTTTCACCCTTGATGAAGCAAAGCCCTCCTGCAGCATGCCCTCCAAGGCTGCTCCAACTTTCGGGAAATTGAAGTCGCTGGGAAATTGAAGTCAAATTCGACATTTGGATATCGCACCAGGAACTTGAAGTCAAATTGGATATTTGGCAAACTTCTTGTCAGAAAAATGACCATCCATGTATCTGAAAGCTGAAATCCATCATAGGTCGCGGTTTTACAGCCAGCGCGCCGCGGAGTTCAGGCATGTGCTGCAAATCAGGGACCGTTAACGCGCAGCTCTCCATCTCACTCGCCCGGGCCCGTGTAGAGGTTATGATGCCACCAGCCGGGTCATCAGGCCCAGTACGTACGCAGTGCAGGAGTGAATTAGCGGCATTGGATCCGGTTGTTTTGCAGGCCAAAGGTTGGTCGATGGGCGGACACGAGTTTAAGAAGCCGTCAGTCCCGCGCCCGTGCCCATCTCTCGCCGTATTATCCTGCCTGATTTGCTGATGCGACGTGCTGATCACGTGAAGGTCAGGCCGATCCGATCCCCCGTCCCTTGCGGACGGATAAACGTAGGCGGATGGATGCTGCCAATCCACACGACGGGAGAGCCGAGAGCGCGCGCGAATCCGATGCGAGAAGCCGAGGATGACGCCCTGCTCTGCGTCCCCCTCCAACGGTCGGCTCGGGTTCAAAAAGCGTTTATTAGAGACGGAGAAGGGAAGAGATGGCAACGGTCGGCCCTCTGTCGTTGGCCGTTAGGTGAGGCTTGCGCACGCAGCACTGCACCAGCCACCGCCAGGTCGAGCTGCCCGGATCTCGGATTCAAAACCCAACGTGCTCTGCATTTGAATCGTGGTGCCGTTGCACCAGCCTAATTCCTGACGCAGGGGCCCCGCACGAGGCAGCACGCATGAAACGCAAACAAAGGCAGCAGCGGCTCAACTGTCCATGGAAACAAACTTTTCTGCTGGTATGCGCGTAACCAGGGTTGACCAGCCGTGGGGGCTGCAGAATTGGCCTCCGTCGATCTCGCAAAGCTTCCTCGCTTGCGATTGCTGCTTTCCCGTGCATTACCCGTCTCGAGGACGATTGGCAAAGCACAGTACCAGATGAAGTTATCACCTAGCATCAGTAGCAGTGCACACGCGTCTCTGATGCTGCTGATGCTGGTGCAACCCCTGAACATTTTTGAAGACGAGATGATGATGTAATAATCAAGACCCAGGCACCGCGATGTTTGTAACGGATAGCGTCCCCACCGAGACGCCGGTCCAGCCCCTGTGGACGTATTCCTTGTAGACCATCCACCGAGGCAACCCTTCAGTCCCACCCGTCGGTTCACAGCACCGTGACCAGCCAACGCCGCTCCCGCGCTCCCCACGTGCGTGCGTGCGCGCACGAGCCTCAAGGCGATCCGCGAGAGAGGATTTGAATGCCCCCCGTCTCGCATCACCAGCAGCTTTGCCTTTGCTCATCAGGCAGGTGCACGGTACGGATTACGGAGTACTAACACAGAGCACAACACACTAACACATAATTAATTATCTCGCTAATCGCTCCTCCCCACGCGCGCTTAAATACCACCACGTCACAGTCCAACGCACTCTTTCCCTCCCTCACTTCACTCCAGTCCCAGCTCCAGCTCGCTCGCAGAGTCGCTGGCCGGAGCTCCTGCCACCAGAAGCCACCACCATGGGCCTCTGCTTAAGCAAGAAGAAGCCACCGGCCAAGCCCGGGAAGATCGCCGTGGTGGTCTCCGACGACAAGGCCAAGAAGCCGGCGCCGCAGCAGCAGCCCAAGAGGGCGGCGGCGGGGGAGGCCGCGGCGACGGCGAACAAGGCCGCGGTGTTCGTCGTGAGGCCGGGGTCGTCGGCCAAGGATCCGAAGAAGAAGCGGTCGTCGGGGTCGCAAGAGCCGCCGGCGCAGCCGAAGCAGCTGCCGGTGGTGCTGGTGCCCTCGGCGCCCGTGCGCACCTCCAGCTGCACCAAGGAGGAGGTGGACGCGATCCTGATCCAGTGCGGCCGGCTCAGCAGGAGCTCGTCCGGGGCCGGGAGGGCGGCGTCGTCGTCCGGTGAGGCGGGAGGCGGCGGCGGCGGACACCGTAGGAGGCGCTCGGGGTCCAAGCGCAGCTACGACTTCGACCAGGAGGCCTGCAGGGCCGGTGGTGGCGCGGACGAGGAGTGCGACTGGGAGAGGCAGGGCGTGTCCAGGCCGTCGCCGCACCGGGGCTCGCCGCAGCGGAAGCGGTCGGGCAGCCGGGAGAGGAGCGGTGCCGGGAGTGGGAGCCGGAGGGCCAGCCGGTCCCCCGGGCGACGCGCGGACGGCGCTGCGACCTCTGTGGCGACGGCGGGCGGCGGCGGCGGAGACCGCGCGAGGCAGCCGCAGCCCGGGAAGATGGTGTCCGTGCCCGCGAGGGAGAAGGGACGCGCGTCGTCGCCCGCGGCCGCGTCGGCGAAGAGGTGCGCGTCGCTGAGATCGAGCTCTCCCGCGAGGATGGCGGCGGGGAATGAGAATGCTGGAGGCGGGCCGGCGGCGGGGCCGACGCCGGTGCTGAGCCGGAGCTCGTCCAGGAAGAACGAGCAGTCTCCGTACAGGCGCAACCCCATGGCCGAGCTCGACGAGAACTCTCTCCGTAACAACAGCAACCACAGTGCCAGGCCGCAGAAGGTAAAGATCAGACAAAACTTGAATTTTACTCCAGTTATTAGTGCAATTCTACCGTACCACTCGCTCAAACTTTTACTGTGACTTCAGAAATCCACTGAGACTGCCGTCGCCGCGACGCCCAAGAAGGCTACCGGGCGTGGAAAGGAGCCGACGGCGGTGCCAAGCAGCTGCAAACCGGAGATCGCAGAGGACGCCGCCGTTGCGGTTGCGGCGTCAGAGACGAGAGCGCACTCGTCGAAGACGACCGCGACGCGCACGGTGAGCATCGTGGACGAGAGCCAGCCCCAAAGGCCCGGCGCGCAGCCAGGCTGCCGATCGCGGCGGGCGTCGCGCGACTTTGACCAAAACCCCGGCTCGTACACCACCCAGCTGCTCGAGGACATCCACAACTACCACCAGCAGTCCACCTCCGCGGCTCCCTCCGCGGCCACGCCTGCGACACCGTCCTTCTCGCTCCCGGCGTGCGTCGCCAAGGCCTGCTCCATCGTCGAGGCCGTGGCCGACCTCAACTCCTCGTCGTCCGAGAACCGCACCTACGAATACGAGCCTGGCCACTCCGCCGACGACAAAGGATCCGTCAACGCGCCGGCCGGCAGCGACGACTTCGTCGAGCCGAGCGCCGCCGCCGCGCGCAAGCACCTGCCGCCGGTGCGGGACGTCCGCGCGGAAACCGAGCCTCAGGAGTCAGCCGGGAGCAACAGCGTCTCCGGCCACCCGTGGACGCCCTCCTGGGAGCCCACCTCGGTCGAGTCCTCGGACCGGACGTGGAGCACCGGCGACGAGGTTGTCGAGCAGTCCGGCAGTCACGGCGGCCGCTGCAGCCCGATGAACAGGCCCCGACAGAGCAAGCAGAGGCAGTCCCAGCCCGAGCCCAGTGGCCGGTCGCGCGCCGGCTCTGGATATGGTAACGGCCAGTACCGTGGACGCAGCGCTCATCGTGGCAGCGGCAGCGTGGCGAGCGGTCGGTCTGGTGTTCGAGTCGTCTCGGCGAACTCGTAGAGTCGTAGTGGGTAGTAAGCAGAGGCATGGTCTGAGTGTATTTGTTCTATCTATCTAGGTGGTGGTGGCAAGATGGATTGCTGCTCCACATATGTGTCTGTGTTTCTTTGGTAGCCACACATTTTTCAGATGTGATTCATGGTGTGACATTTTGCGCACCATTTCATGCATGTTGGTTTGATCAGAGACCTTCACAGGGTTGTCATTTTCTTCTGTTCAGTTGCTACTTTACAGAACAGGGAGAGAAGACAGAAGGCCAGTCTCAGTGGGGTTTTATCAGAGTTTCATGAGCATTAAATAGGCTGATGTGGCACCGTATTGATGAAGAAAAGATCATGTTTCATGAGTGACGCAGAGTTTCAGTCTCTTCCTGATCAAAATATGTTTGGTAGTATGCTCCATTGAAACTGGCCTAATGCAAACCAACAATTCTCTCCAGTTCGATAGTCACTCGAGCTATTTCTCCTGATTGAGAGTTCTATAAGGCCCCTTTGTCAAGTATTGGTATAACGTTTTATAATTTGTGTCTCCTGTGATGAGAAGGAAGGTGAGGTTTAGTCATACTCCAACATGTTCAGTCAAGTACATTACTCCTGTAATTTGAAGTTTAGGACAGGTTTTATAGAAAATAATATCAATATTAATATTTCCAAATAGATTTACTACAAAAATATATTTTATAATTAATGTAGTGATGTTTACTTGCATCATAAAGATTGGTAGTTTGTTGAATTTGTTTACTTTCTAGGAATTGCATTTTTTGGGATCGAGTGAGTACCTGATAATGATCATCAGATTCTGCATCTGTTGAAAAAAACATGTTTCACTATTAAAAGAAGTTACAGGATTTATTTAAACACAGTAGCTTTCATAGCTCAGTTGGTTAGAGCACCCGTTTAGTAAGCGGGAGGTCTTGAGTTCAAATCTCAATGAAAGCATTATTTTTTCAAATTTCATTTTTATTGTCATACACATAACAAAATCCAGCATTTTTCTTGTTTTTGGTAGGTTTGGTGATTTTCAGGATGGATCTTGTATTGGATTGCATAGGGATTTTTCAAATCAAATATATCTTATATGTGTTAGCTTTTTAGAATCTACTCTAAAATTCATCATGTTTATATTTTTAATTTTTCATATATTTTGTCATACCTATAATATAGAATCGTATTTGGGAGGTTTGGTGATTTATGTGCCTTGAACTCAACTTTGGTGATTTCTAGGATGAATATTGTATTGGATTGCATAGGGATTTCCAAATCAAATATCTCTGATGTGTTAAATTTTAGAATCTGCTCTAAAATCTATCATGTTTGGATGAGTACTTAGGATTATGAGATTCTTTTTATCAGATTTTCAAAATCTCCTTCAATCCAGACGGGCATAACTTCTTTTTGAACAATAAATGACAACAAATCTTTTTAGATGGAATTTGGAAACAACTATCAATCTTTTTGCGTTTCATCAAAGATTCAAAGGCACATGAAAAGGACTACCCCTGGCGAAGTCGACTGGTTGAACTCAATTGGTCGAGCATATATATGTAAATAAATTCCTTTTTTGTCAAGAAGCCGACATATTTCTCAAAAATAAAAAAGTCAAGAAGCTGACATACTTTTTTTTTTGGAATGCACAGCCCTTATTATTCTTGGTTGGGCCACGCACGGCCTCAACGCCCAGCCGCCGCCGCCCGTCCCGTCCCGTCCCTCTTCTTCGTCCTCTCAGTCAAAGCTAAAAGCTTGCTCTCCTCGTCCAGTCAGACAGGGCATGAAACCCTAGGGCGCCCGCCTTCCCTCCGCGATCTGCCATTGCGCTCCGCGATGCAGGCGTCCGCTCGCCTCTTCTCCTCCGCGGCCTTCAGGAAAGGTGAGTAAAGCTAGTCATCAAGCCTATTTCGCCCGCGCCTCCCGTGTCCGATCCAAGCTCTGGGTTTTGGCCCCGGCGGTGATGTGATCTTGTTTGCCTGATCTGTTCCCTCTTCCCAATGATCGCGGGTGTCTCTAGCGCCACCACACGGTCGTGCTACCGGACCTCCTGGGGGAAGGCGCATGCGGCGCCGCTGCCTGCGCAGGAGCCACCGCCCATGGACGGAAGAGGATTTCAATGCAGGAGAGGAGGGCTTTGATAGTGGAATTCGTTGAGAAGTAGGTGACTTCTTCTCACTCGATTTTCTGGTTGTAGAGTTTATCTTTTTGGGTCATAAGTAGCAAAGTGTGTAGCTTTCAGCTCATTAGCATTTCTGTTTGGCTTTTTCCCAGCCGAGTAATAGACACTTATGCTAGTTATGCATTAAGGATTGACATTTGAGATTTAGAAATTAACAATGGAAATGTGGCACAACTCATTCAGATTTGTAGGATTCTGATAAAGAGTGGCAATTATGTCTAGGAGTTATAAAAACCTTTTTTTTCTGGTTAGTTAGTTATTGTCGTGACTGTTAAACCATGTGTTTCTGTTTAGTGCAGTTATAGAGCTTCAAATGAAGGCAAGTTTCCTACTATAATAACAAATATCTGTAATCAAATTGGAGGCAGTTTTTACACAGTGCGTCCGGTACTTCAAGAAATGGTGTATAATCATGCAAAATTACCACTGGATAATCCTAAGACAGCTCCACGTCAAGTCACAGTTGAAGTCACTGAGCACCTCTTGCAAAAGGATGAAGCCACTGGCTGAAAGACAGGTTTCTGAGCATTCCACGCCCAAGGATGATGCTGAAGTGGCTCACCTCATGCAAAAGGAGGAAGCCAGAGTGGCTGAAAGACAGGTTTCTGAGCATTCCACGCCCAAGGATGATGCTGAAGTGGCTCACCTCGTGCAAAAGGATGAACCCAGAGTGGCTGAAAGACAAGTTTCTGAGCATTCCACGCCCAAGGATGATGCTGAAGTGGCTCACCTCATGCAAAAGGATGAACCCAGAGTGGCTGAAAGACAAGTTTCTGAGCATTCCACGCCCAAGGATGCTGCTGAAGTGGCTCACCTCATGCAAAAGGATGAACCCAGAGTGGCTGAAAGACAAGTTTCTGAGCATTCCACGCCCAAGGATGATGCTGAAGTGGCTCAACTTCAAGGAACAGTTCAAGTTTCTGAGCATTCCTTCCCTAAGGATGAAGGTAAGGTGTTATGCAGAGAAGACAACCCAAAGCTTGAGGAGTCCGCGAACACAGGTCTTTTGGGCAGCCTGAAATCTTTTGCTTATGGCATCAGAAACTTCTGGAAAAATATGTAAATCTGTCTTTGTTTTTGGCCATGACCAAACACGCTTGGAGCCCCCTTCGTCTTCATGGCTTCATCAATTCCTAAGACTGCACTACATTCAGAAGGCTACAGAATTGATAACTTGTCCCTTTGTTAAGTGTTTGCAATACTGGATCAACTTGTAAAGTTCTTTTTATGTCACAACTAATGGTCAAGTTCCTGCTATGATGCTTTGATTAAGCTAGATAGGAGTATTAACTGCCCGTGTTTGTCAATTGTTGTGCACACATTGAACGTTGGGCGCAAATTTTATGCCTCAGCTGCTGACTTTACCCCCCTATATCGTTGTGCTAATTAACTTAATATTTTGGATTGTTTCCCGGATAAAAGTGACATGGGAAGTGTGAGCAACTTTTCTGATAAAACAAAGCACAGATGCATTGCAGTGAAAATTTGGCGTCAACCTTCTGCGGCAACGGAATGTAAAAAACGCTCAACAGATAGGGAAGTAGCAGCTTAGCAACATTAACACAGCTTTCCATTCGATCCTGGTGCAAAACCCAACCTAATAATAGTACATTAAAAAAACTAATATACAATCTACATTTTGCCGTTTGGAATGCAGACATCTGACAGTAAATAGTCCAGTTCCCATGGGGCTCACATGATCAACTATTCTTCGTCCGAAATCTCATAGGCTAAACCAAGCAAACTTCCAGCTGTGTTCTGTTGCTCCTCTCTTGGTTTTTCAAGCCTAGGCGCTGTGTGGTCAGGATTCACAGTCCCATGAGATGATCCCTTCTCGCCCACAAGTAGTCCCGACTGATTCTGCGATGAAGACAACTCGCTGATAGAATCTTCTTCCCCATGCTTAGGCTTATTGCTATCTGTTGGCTGTGAAGGGCTGCTGACTTTCGGTCGCTTTGGTTTGATCCCAACAATGTTCTTCAAAAGATCTTGTTGCCTGTCCATAACGCAAGCACGCAGATCATAAGAAGGAAAAGGTATTGCTCATTTTGGGATATATATATAAGGAAAAAGGTACAAGGTACTGTTGAAGGATGTAGAGTGCTGTCTTGGAGGCAGCTTACCTTATATCACTTTTAGGTTTAGGTTCAACACGAAGAGCCACAGGGACAGCAGGTGTAGAATCAGCTAAAATTGCTGCTTTGTAATGTCAGAGTTGAAGATAGCAAAGAGATAGCTTAGACCACATGTTTCTATTGCACTATTCCAACGGAAGGAAACTGAATTGTAAGGGTGCGAAAATTTTCATGCTGATGTAGAAAAGCTAACTGAACCATATTGATCAGATTGTATCCTTAACTGTATAACAGGAAAAGCAACATTATTTATGTTTAATAAGGGATATCTTAAAAGCAGCAAATGCCCGCTTCTCAGTACGACGAATAATAGTACATTAAAAAAACTAATATACAATCTACATTTTGCCGTTTGGAATGCAGACATCTGACAGTAAATAGTCCAGTTCCCATGGGGCTCACATGATCAACTATTCTTCGTCCGAACTCTCATAGGCTAAACCAAGCAAACTTCCAGCTGTGTTCTGTTGCTCCTCTCTTGTTTTTTCAAGCCTTGGCGCTGTGTAGTCAGGATTCACAGTCCCATGAGATGATCCCTTCTTGCCCACAAGTAGTCCCGACTGATTCTGCGATGAAGACAACTCGCTGATAGAATCCTCTTCCCCATGCTTAGGCTTATTGCTATCTGTTGGCTGTGAAGGGCTGCTAACTTTCGGTCGCTTTGGTTTGATCCCAACAATGTTCTTCAAAAGATCTTGTTGCCTGTCCATAACGCAAGCACCCAGATCATAAGAAGGAAAAGGTATTGCTCATTTTGGGATATATATATAAGGAAAAAGGTACAAGGTACTGTTGAAGGATGTAGAGTGCTGTCTTGGAGGCAGCTTACCTTATATCACTTTTAGGTTTAGGTTCAACACGAAGAGCCACAGGGACAGCAGGTGTAGAATCAGCTAAAATTGCTGCTTTGTAATGTCAGAGTTGAAGATAGCAAAGAGATAGCTTAGACCACATGTTTCTATTGCACTATTCCAACGGAAGGAAACTGAATTGTAAGGGTGTGAAAATTTTCATGCTGATGTAGAAAGGCTAACTGAACCATATTGATCAGATTGTATCCTTAACTGTATAACAGGAAAAGCAACATTATTTATGTTTAATAAGGGATATCTTAAAAGCAGCAAATGCCCGCTTCTCAGTACGACGAAGAAGACGCTCGGCATCTTCCTCGGCTTCCATTTGCTCTTTCAGGTAAAGCAAATCATCGCTGTCCAATGCTGAAGAACACAAAAGTAGCATAGACAACAAGGTTAACAAGGAACCTACAACTTTACAAGAGTCTTCCTGTAAAAGAAGCATTTGAATACCTCCCCGCCCATGAAGGTAGCCTCCCCTCTCACCAGCAACCTCTTGCATCTGTTGGTATCAACCACCGAGTAGAGAGCCAAAATCCCTGTCAGGGCATGTTATAAGAACATTGTACACTAACACCTATTGGAAATGCTTAGTCATTTAATCAAGTGTTCAAGAAAAAGCAAGACATCCTCGTGTGACCAAAACAAACGAAAAATGTTATTTTACCAACAAACTAGCATTAGTCTGAAGAATGCTGCTGGACTGCAGCCTAAATCTAAGGCGACCTTTAACTTTATCTTTTCACAACAAAGCCAACCCAAATGTATTTCTAGGATGCAGGTCTAAAACAGAAACATCTACAAAGCGCTTAGAAATCACAAATTGCTCAAATGCATGGATGGTTCGCTGAGAGACAACATTGTCTCTTAGATCCAAAAGAAGAAGGCCTAGGCCTTTTCTCAACTGCATAACGTCAACAAACTAACTACACTGGCAAGCTACAATTTTTTTTTTGTCACAATTCAAATTGGTTCCTAACAGCCTCGTTAAAATTCTGAAAGTTTGGCTCAGTAAAAACAACTCGAAGTTACTGTCCTCGTGCCCCTGCCTTATCTAACTTCTCCACTGGTCCTTGTAAAAAGGAAAACAATACATGAATCAGCTCCAACTTGGCATGTCGATTCATTCAACAATCCAAACTGTTTACTGTGAGACTTGCACATAACTTAGTTATCAACAGACAACAACACTACTAAATAGTAATTACCTCTAAATGCATAGGATAACTATGTTGCGAGTACCACTGCCATATTCCCCTCCCCAGGAAGAAACACCAGTGCAAACATTTTTAACAGAAGTAGGTAGCTAGATGGCTAATTAAAATTTCGAAATGACTCTAATGCTTAACATGCCTACATTTAACCCAGGAAAAAAACCCCCTAAAACGAGCATACAGGTAAGCAGTACAACAAAACAGTAAGCCGGAGCAGAGGTTGCATGACGATTCGGTCTAACCTTTGCAACCATGCGCTGGAAGGTGATGTCCTCATCGTCGATCTTGTCCTTCCCTTTCCCAAACTTCCTGTCTGCACATGCACGGAGCCAAACACCCCATTCAGGAACTAGAAAGAAACAGGGGCGGGTAAATCGACGAATCAGCGGAAGGAGGCGCACACCTTTGGGGTCGCTGAGATTGGTGTACTCGCGGACCTCGCGCCCGGACATGGCTGGGGCTGACGACGGGAGGACGCGAAACCCTAACCCCGGCTCGTGGCTCCGAGCGGAAGCTTCGAGACTAACCGCGCGGGGGCCTTCGGACTCCGATTAGGAGGCTGTTGTCTGAGTATGGACTGGAGAAGCGGAATCTGAATTCGCGTGGGTCTTGCTATGGTTCTCGAAGAGCGGTGGAGGACTCTTGAGGGCTGGGCCCTGGGGTCGAGGCCCAATTTGGATCCAGATTGATAGCCCAAGATGTGATTTTGATTAAGAAAAAAAAAAACGGATAAGACCATCGGTTCATGTGACAACGTGTATCTGGACTCGCAATCGTAAGTTACTGTAACATTTATTGTCAGTGTGGCAAAACCACAAAAGAAGGAATCTGCCTTGCATAAAAGAAGAAGAAGAAGAAGGAATCTGCCTGTCCAATCGATTATCAAGGAGGAATATGTTTATCTGGTCTAGAAAGTTCAAAACCGTACAATCCGTCAGTTATTGAAAAGCATAGGCAATTTTCGATTGATTTTCATCCCAAATTGCACAAGATAAAACATGATATCAATAACAAACATAAATATAGAACTAGGATCTACGCAAACAAATTGATGTGGACTGATGCTTCAGCCGCGAGTGTGCGGCACTCATTCATTCGTATATGCAACTTTACAATCGGTTTTCTGTAGTCTTAATTTCTCTTCGGATTAACATTATTCCTAGCATTAAACACAGGATTTAAGATTCCTTTTAATTAAAATAAATATATTTAACTTAGGACAAACCTAATACGACATGTAAAAAAAAACAGAGTGAATACCCAAAAGTTAAAATGAGAGTTCTTACCTCATTGTTTTCTTCATCAAAAGGCTAAGCTTTTTGTGCACTTAAAATATGAAATAGTGCAACGCATGCGATAGCTACAAAATATTACAAACCAAGACAGATATTCTATCCACGTCCATGGCATATGAAGGCACATTAGTATTTTCCTTAAACTAACTTGGGTCTTCTAGCACAACTTTTCATTGCAGGTTCACAATAGGCCCTGTTCAGCTTACCCTATATTCGGCTTTTTTTTTTTTTTTTTTTCAGTCGGAACAATATTTTTCTCTCATAATAATTCAACCAGAACAATATTTTTCAGCCAGTCTTCAATCAAAATTCAGCCAAGCCGAACGAGTCCACATATGGACGTCCGTATTAGAATACCAGTGATAAAGTAGTTTTCTTTTACCTAACTATGAATTCTGTAGGTTTTGTAATAAGTAGATGAAGCATTAATGACCAAAATTTTGATCCTGCCGTTGCGTTGGTCGTAACCAATTTTCTTGGTAGTCATAGTTAAGCCTCAAACCAAACATGTTTCGGCGCAAAGACAAAATAACCTGCGAACTACTACTCCAGAATGACGGGTTATGCCAAAGCAGTACAGGAGTGTCAATCAGACATAGATGTTCTAGAGCTTCAAGATAAACCGGCAACACAGTTAACGTAAACCAGCCAGGAAAATTTATAAGTGCAGGAATAAACAAAAATAAGACACTGTAGATTGTACAGAGAAAGCTCTGAAATTTTCAATGCCGCAGCATCTGCAAGCAGAGTGTCTAGAGGCCAAGGCCGACTGTCCTGCCATCTCTCCTGCGGAGGCCTGCAATGTAATGCTTCTCTAGGTTGGTGTCGAGCTCCTCCAGTTTCTTGGCTTCTGCCGAGCTCCCGGCCTTGTTCTCCACCATGTTTTCCTGAACTGGGGCACTGCTCTTCACACCCTGCAACATACCATAGCCACCAAGGCATCCTCAGACTCTAAAACCGTGTTAGTGCATTGCAGAGTAATGAGGTATATGTCTTACAGAAATGGAATATGAATAAATTTGCAAGGACTAAAATATTCAAAACTGAGCTTGGAAGCGAGGGAATTACCATGAGTTTGTTAAATTTCTCTTGGCGCTCCCGATCAGAAAACAACTCCCAACGTTTACTTGTCTGTAGCATCAGGGATAACAAACTGAATGAAATGAAAACGAAAAAAAAAGGTCATATTATTCACTGAAACCTACCTCCTCCGAAGGATTACTCTTTTTGTTACCCCAAAGAAGCTTTTTCTTCTGATCAGTGGATAGGCGCCCAGTTCCAGGACCAAATGCTGCAATGTTCCTATTCACTGCCATAAAACACGAAGGGATGGTCAATGATGCAAGCCACAGCTCAAATTGTCAGGAAATATGTTTACTACTATGGCCATCTCACTGGATGCCATATGTTTCTTGTGTTATTAATTATCAGTGGCTCAGGGCAATGCTCAGAACATCAAAATCATCAAATACAATTTCCCTTTTCTTTAAACCATGCAGCATCGCTGATAGGTGAACGCGCCAATGTAAAGACAAGCACCAGAGAAAAAAACAAATTAGCTAAGGAGAATATAGGTCTTGGAGATATGACAGGAATGGACACAAAAAGTGAAATGCGTACCTAATTCAGCAGCTTTCATAGCTGCAACTTTAGCTGCATTCACACCATCTACGGTTCCTGCAGAGTTATCCAAGGCTTCATTTGTGGCTGTGGATGGTTTGGCATCTGTGGAATTCCATAAATTTACGCTGCCTGAGACTGAATATAGAAAAGTATGCACAAAAAAGAGAGTACATGAATAAAAAAATCAACTAACCCCCTGGATTATCAACATTTGGCCCAGTAGAGCTGAATAAACTTTTCTTCTCCCTAGTTTCCACCAAAGCTTCTTTCTCAATTTCCTTTCCATTCCTCCTCTTCAGGACCTCGTCCTCTTTGATGGTTTCCTTGTTCTTACGAACAACCCTGTGATGATCTCTATCATCTCCATAACCTCTGTACTCTTGCTTTCTTGCATCTGTATATTTATTGTATTCTCCACCATCATTCTTTTGATAGCCACGAGGGGACTCCTGCTTTCCTTCATTTATACTCTGATCTCGATTGACAGATTTTTCTCCGTATCTGCCAACATCTCGCTGGTCACCACGTGATCTACCAGATGTGCTATCATGTTTTGAGCGATCATAATAAGTATCAACCCTTGATTCCCGGTCTGACCGAGAGGCTCTTGGATGGCTTCTACCATAATCATCACCGTACTTATCATGGTACCTCCTATAGTCATCATGCCTCTTGGATTCACGTGATGTTCCATAGGAATGCTTATCAGAGTGCCTACCCGATTCATGACCTCTTCTAGCATCACATGTGTCATCTAGATCTCTTGAGTTATCCTTCCTTCCAGAAGTCTCATAATCTTTGTCACGACCTTCCTTGTATTCAACTGGGCTATGACTCCTCCTACGCTTAGAATTCATCCTACACTTCAAGAGTGTCTATCAATTGAACAGCAATTCAATAGTTTAATATATACTAGGACTTTGAAGCACATAAGTCAGTATTAACACCAAACATCATCCTTTACTGCAACATGACCAGAATGCATCACTGATTGTTACATGAAAAGTTCTGCACAAATGAATTGAAGCTATATTGGAAGAACCAAAGAGAAACAGTAGCACATAGTATTCACAGAAAGTACATGATTACACGAATCTGAAAGTTGATGAAATCGTTCATTTTACTAAATTTGGTTCTGAATGCATAATATATGGATGTCACGTCATGTCTAATGGACCATAGGATCTTAAATAATAATAAGAGAAGCTTTGGTTACATGACTTTTGGTTGAAATGGTGGGAAAAAAAACAAACATTTTTTTAATGAAATGGCACTGATCAAAGAAAATGACAATTTTTAAACACCCCCCCCCCCACCCACCCACGGTCCCTAAAAAATAGAAATAGCCTAAAAATCATACAGCACCATTGAAACCAATTTCTAGGAAGTGTTTCAAATTCTGTTTCTAAACTGAATCTGAATCCAGCCTATTTAAATTCTGTTTTTTGCAGGGTGCTATTTGGAAGTGAAATTTTCCCCTAAGTTGACAGCTATAAGTCTTGTCCTTATCTACTTTGGATAATTATCTAGAGTAGTTGGTGGCTGTGTTAGCCCTTATCTTTATCCCTAGCATCTACTTTAGCATCTCTAGAATATGCTGTAGTTTTCTTAAGGCTCAAGCAAGCTATCCTATATGTATCTCCAACCTGCCATAGTTGTGGCATGGCTAATGAAATATGAAATTCAGCCCCAATCCTGTGTTTTGGTTCTAACAAATGGTATCGGATAATTACCTAGAGTAGTTGGTGGCTGTGTCAGCCCTTATCTTTATCCCTAGCATCTACTTTAGCATCTCTAGAAGAATGTTTTCTGATCGAATCGCGATTAATCGTCCTTATCGGTACTTAGCAATTGATTAGGCCCTCCGATTCGATCAGAGCGATCAGAAACCTGATCGTCCGATTAATCGTCGATTACTTGCGTTTAATCGTCCGATTAGGTCTCTTTGCCGATCAGCACTAAATAGGCGGATGGGCTACTTCAGTTTACTAGGCTATATTTATTTGAGCTAGGCCTATTAGGGTTTCTCTTATTTAGATTTAGATGGCTGCTGAATGCTGATTGAATGACAGCTAGTGTTATCTTAAAAACTCTGAATGTTGTTTGCAGTGTTTAATTATTTAGTTTGTAGTATGTACTCAGTACTCGTACTATATTAAGTAAGCTGTGGACTATGCTAGTTTTCTTAATTCCTACTTTTCTGGATCTGGATTGAGTATGTGCTGCTGTAATGCTGTCAGTCTGTCACACTATTCTTTTGCATCTACTTACTCAAGTTATCTATTATTCCTGCAGAAAATCAGCAAACATATGGAGGCTGGGACAAGAATATGGAGTCAGATCTCATAGGTAAGTAACCAACTAACTAGAAATATGCTCGATGTCTACTATATAAATATATAGTATATGGTATATTATATATATACCATACATATATGACATATACTTATATAGTCCTGCTATATGCTGGACGATTAGACCGATCAGAGGTCGATTAATCGTCCTGATCGTCCTAATCGGTACCACACCGATTA